ATTATTATTACAAATAAAATAAAAAAACAACATTTCAACGTAATCACAAGGCAATTACACAACGAAGCAACAACAAATTCACAAAATCCGTTTCATTGCCTATAAAGCTAGGCTTAATACAAACACAAACGCAGTGGTGTTTTACAAGCATAAATTCCCCACTCTGCACAGACGGAACAGAGCGCACAACTCAGAGTCACAGAAATTTTGTTGGCTTTGATGAGTTGTGATCTTTATGACGATTATTGATGGTGGTAAGGACTGATGACGTTGGCAACGCTGCTGTTGTTTCGGCGGAAATAAGCCAGAGGCATTATGACATATAATATCCTTCTTTTTGTATTGTGTATTATATTTTTGGACTGATGCATTTTAAATTATGACGCCACTTAACATTTTATCATATAAACTATATGAGCTTGGTTTTATTATGCTGAATGGTAGTTTTTAACGCGTTCTTCGTCTTCCTTTTAGTTGAGCAGTATTGTAGGTATTCCGTTCGAAAACACTTTTTTCATAGCACAGCTACAAATTAAATTTACAGCTGAAATTTGCAAACTTTTATTGCTTTAAGCCGAGTTTTGAAACCTTTGCGGCGTTAATGATGCATTGCGAACGTTTTAGTCAATTTTTGAGATATCCACCAAACTGCGTTCTCCACATAATGGACTGCGTGTGGTATGAACGCTTCCATGCAAACTCGCTCATTTGTCTCCTTCACTTAATTTGTTTGCCTGTGAGTTCTTAATAGCGGGGTTGTGGCCGTTTGTGGCTTACGTGGAGCTGTATGTTCATCAGTTCCCAACTGAAAGTGATATTTAAATACTCTGGATTAATTGCAACTGCTTTAAAAATATTACAAATTACTCTCATGTCGTAATTAAGGCAAATCAAATTCATCTTAATTATTACAAGAACTTTATTATTTTTTAATACTTTTAATGCAAGATTCACAGATTTCACAGAGATTTTTTAACACATGTTCTTATAAGTAGGTCAGTATTCTGCGATCTCCTAACCTTACAGATAGATATTATTAGTGGTTAGATATTAGTATTAGATATTTTAATTTATTTAGATATTTTAATCACATGACGGACTTGATTTCTGGAATTGATTACAATTGGACCGATCTTTTCTAGTTGATCAATCTTAATCACATGGATGATTTGATTTCTGGAATTGATTACAATTGGACCGATCTTTTTTAGTTGTCAATATTAATCACATGAATGACTTGATTTCTGGAATTGATTACAATTGGACCGATCTTTTTTAGTTGATCAATATTAATCACATGAATGACTTGATTTCTGAAATTGATTACAATTGGACCGATCCTTTTTAGTTGACCAATCTTAATCACATGAATGACTTGATTTCTGGAATTGATTACAATTGGACCGATCCTTTTTAGTTGATCAATCTTAAACATATGGATGACTTAAATACTATAAGTAATAAGTATTGCCTTGTATCTATAGCAGCAAAATGGTAAAGTAGAGGCACTACTTAATAAAAAAAGTTGATCAACCAAAAACTGGTGCTCTTATAAGCTCGCACAAACAACTAGCTTACTATGAGTGGTAAACTAGAGGGAATTACTCTATAAACTGGAAATTAAAATTTACAGTTCTAAAACGTTTTCTACAGAGAGTTTGCGAATGCTAAAGAGTGACTCAAACGTTCTTTATTATTAAAAAGTTTTTATAAGAAAATATTATGAGTACGAATTAACAAAACTAATTCCACTAATCAGATAATATAAAGACCCCTACTTATATGAGGTCATATACTTTTATATTAAAGTTGTAAATAGTGATGAGTATAATTTATAAGACCACTGCTTGCGATAAATTCATCAATGGACTTTTTGATTGTTGAAAATCTATTCCACTAATTGAATAATTTATAAGACCACTGCTTATATATGGTCAGAAATAATATAAAAGTTTATGTTTTATTCAAGTCTTTCTTTTAATTTTCATGAAAACTGTGATATTTTCATATAATAATTGTTCTACAACATATTGAAGTAAAAATTTTATCAAATTTTAAAATAAGTATAATTTATTTTGTTCACTTTCGAAACCGGGAATATTTATATAGGAGACCTAGAATGTAGTATAAGATAGAAGTTGGTTTTCTGGCAATCCTTACTCTCCAGGTGAGGGCAATGGTATTCGTACAAGAAGTGCAATTTTCTCTTATCGTACATTCTGGAATGAGTATATTAAATTTTTTCCCGAGATTTCAAATTTTTTTTTTCCATCAACTTCGTTTTATATTTTTAATAATAAACCTGTACATGCCAATATGACGTTTTCTTCCGTAGCTAATCCTATAATTATGAAATTGATATGCTTTGACTTTATGAGGTGTAGTTGTCGATATCTAGCCTAAATCTATTATTTGATATTTCAAGAGAAAATTCCAGTTTTAGACTTTATTACTGATGATTAAACCTTTTTTATAATTATACGGCTTTTTAAATCAAATTTTTAAAAAGACTTTCTTTTGTAATAACCTACCTTATATTCTGTTAAGAAAAAATTACTTAAAATTGTTTACTCAAATGACTAAACAGATTGAAAAATAATTGACTAATTTAAAAAAATTAGGGCCTTACATAATGTATTGACATCTTAGTTGTTATTTTTTTCGTAGTACATTTTATTATCGCTGGTAGTCCGAACATTGTCTCTATGTGTTTCGATTCGATTCATATCTAAATTAAAAACATAAATTAATTTTATATAAAACAATTTTGAAGAATTTAAGAATCTTTTTGTTCAATATTGTTTTTTTTGCCAGACGCACACAAGTGACTTAATATAAAATATTAAGTTACTAAAAAATGGTGAGCGAATTCGGTCAAATTTCGGGAGTAAGTAGATAAGTAGTCTCATCAGATTTGAAACAGATTGTGTAACTTTACTTCTTTGTTATTATTTCTATCAAACCTACAACAGTAACAATTCGTACGGTCAATAAAGAATTGTTAGTGTGTTTAATGTTAAAAATTGCAAATATGCACTTTGACATAAAGTAGCAATTAAGCTAACTCGAATCCCACCTTAAGTGGTGTTTTTTTAATGATCAAAATTGTGTATAAAAATAAGTTATTGTATTTAAGTCAGTACAAGCAATTAGAAACAAAACAAAATATATGAATAATAGGAGATAATAAAATAATGTTTGTCAATGTAATTTCAATAACTCCTGATTTTGACAGCATTTACGAAGAATCATAAAATAGTTCTACATTGCAACATAATGTTATATTCTATATTTAACAGAAGTATTTAAAAATCAAATAGTTTTAGTTGGCAACACTGACACACTTCCGAAATAAATTTTCATTTTATTAGTAAATGCGATAGTGTGTTTAAAATTAAAAATATTTCTTTTATATGAAATTAAAAATTCATTTAATATTAACACATTTTATTTTTAAATATTAAAAACATATTAAGTCGAATGTAAAACAGTAGTCGACCGTAATTAAATTCAAATTTATTTTAAATCTTGATATCTGTAATTAAGAGGAAATACCTCATTTTATAAAACTGTAGTTTGTTTGTTTGTTTGTTAATATGGTGTGATTTTACGTAACATACAAACAAGTACGTGTATATCCTTATCATTACTCAAAAGAAAAACAAAATGTAACATTTTTAATATATCCACACACATTTATTATAAAAATGAGAATAAAAAATTTTTCATTATTAAAAGATATACTCGTACTATAATTATAGGTGTACGCTACATACTCAAATGCGCATACAATGTCCTACAAAACTCATTCAACAGCAAGTGAAATTATGAATGAAATGCTTTAAAATAAACAAAAGCAACAACAAAAATAAAAACAAAAACAATAAAAACAAAGCAAAGAAGCTGAAGTATTCTCTGCTACGTCGCGCCGGCTGCGACTGTTGCGCGGTTGCTTCATATAGGCAACTTCTCCGCAAAGTTAAAGAAGAGGCCCATTGGTTTAATTACGTATCATTTCCTGGTTTTGTTTGATGTGGATCTCAGTGCGTTGATCGTTGATCGTTGGCATTATTATTATTGTTTTATTCTTTTGTTTACGTGAATTTTGAATGTGTTTGAATTATTATTAACTACGAAATGACGCTAATGTTGTTGTTGTTGTGTAGTTGGGACTGTTGTTGTTGTTACTGGTATTGTAAAGTGAACCGTTGATTATTATTTAGCCGCAAGTTAGCGCCAAGAGTCAAGAAAGTCTTCTTTTCTTTTCTATTTGGTTTTTTTTTATATTTTTTTGTATATTTCATTCAATTCCTACCACTGTTGAAATAGTAATGATACTCGGAGAAGAAGAACTACAAAGTGGGTTGAAGAAAAAATTATGATGGATTAAAGTATTCAAAACAATTGACGACGCAGCCAAGTACACCCGATTTGATATGAGCCGTAGCCAGCCACCTTTGGCGGTTTAGCAATTATTTTGTCTTTTCAAATCATACGAGTATGTGGCACGTCCGTCCATCAGACTGAATCGTTTGATTTTAATTTTATATTAAATTACGTTTTTGTGTTTTGGTCTATAATTTGCTGCTTTCCAAAATAGAAAATTCTTAGACCGGATTTTTTTCAATTTTTTTATTATGTTTATTAACAAAAATTAATTTTATTTTTTTTTCTCTACTTTAATTTTGGTAAATTTTTTCTTTTATTTTTTTTTTTTTTTGGTACAAATCAGAATGGTACCTATATCAATGTGATCAAAAATCTATGACAGCTACATGCCAACAATTAAATGCCAACAAAAAACATTATACGCTTTATGCAAATGTTTAGATTTAAACTAGTCTCTGATTTTTATATTTTTATTCAAATATTGATAGTTTTCTGTACCTGGCTTAATATCTAATTTTATTAATTTATTTATTTTTTTCAGGCTTTGAATGGATTTCTTATGATACTCACATGCGAAGGTGAAGTATTCTTCGCAACACACAGCATAGAGAGCTATTTGGGTTTTCATCAGGTCAGTCATCTTCTAGGTTATGTCTACAAAAAAAAATAACAAAGCATCAATATAAAAATATTTAATTACTTTTATTAATAAGAAAAAATTTGGATATTTTCGTTTTTTTTGAAACAAAATTTACTTATGAATGAATTCGGTGCCATAAAAAAGAATGAGAAAGAATGAGGGACAGGAAAAATGATTACCAATCATTATGCATGTAGCTACTAGACTTTATATTGCGGTTTGTACTGTGGAGAATCGACTAATATCATATGGACGGTATTTTAAGATTTCTTGCAATTTAATTGTTGTTAAACAATTGAAAATTAATTTAAATTTTTAAGTTTTTATGGTATAAGTAAGTAGTGACATACATATGTATTATCAGCTTCTGTAGAAACCAAAAAAAAATTCTTAGTAAATCGCCAATAAGAACATTATGGTGATGTGTGATAATCCTAAATCACAAATGATAAATATTTTGTACAAATTTGTAGTTATGTTTATTAAAACAACACTTCAATGCTATCAATAAATTTCGATATAACCCAATAGAGTTGAAAGTATCTTTGATTACAACAATTTTTAATTTGCAAAAAGTTCCCATCCTAAAGTTTTTTTAAAGTTTACTTACTAATCTCAAGAAATTTCACTAAATAACATTTAGAGAAAGAAGCGGCTAACTAGATGCAAGCCCATTGTCTCAAGAAAGCTATAAATAAAGCTTTAGGGTGTTAAGTTACACTGGCTCATTAACAACAGGCTCATCTGCTGTGCCCAGAGTACAAAGTATTTTTATATAATAGTAATATAAAACCAATATTGCCTCATAGTATCCGTCCATTTGGTACAGCAAATGCTTCATATAATTGCATTTGATTTTTCAATTATTTTGTTTATAGCAAAAGTTTGAAGTCAGTCGTTTGCTTTGGCGAACGTTTCGACTGTTAAAATAGGAAAATAAACTGATTTTGGTAATGGTAATGGTGTTTGGGCGTTTTTGGGATTAAGGTAAGGCCCCTATGCACCAGCTTCTTCGGAGGGAGTTTGCGAAGGTCTTCATCCTTTAGTTGGTATGAACCTAAAATTTTGTTTCTTCTGTGGCCTAGTACATCACAGTTGGTGATCAGATGTTCCATAGACTCTTCCTCATCACAGCAGAATCTGCAATATTAGTGTCTGATATACCTATTTTATGTAGGTGTATCTTACATGCGACGTGGCCTGTTAGTGCCCCAGAGAGTGACTTTAGACTCTTCTTGCTTAGGTTGAGAGCGGTGCTCTTTTGGCATCAAAATTTAAGAATTTTTCGGAATGATATAGGCCGTTTTAAACATAACTGATTTTAATATGATCTCAAAGTTTATTGTGTTTATAGTTATTATTGATTAACAAGCATTTTAAAAAAATATGTTTCTGATGCCATAAATTATACAAGTAAATAATGTTGTCATTGAAGCAAGAATTTCTTAAGTCCTGGTGCACACTACCGGAAAAAAACGATCAGTGCCGCTACTCAGCGATTTGAACGGTAAAAACTTTATCAACGGCGCTGCTCAATGTGATGCAGAGTGGCGCCACTGAGCTTTTTTAACCGCTAGTGTGCACCTGTCGTAGAGGTTACTGTCGCTTGCATCCCGCCTCCTTGATAATAGACAATCGCTCAGTCTTCTTGATATATTCCGAAAAAATTAAGTCATCTACAAATAAAATTAACTTTAGTGTTATTAAAAATATTTAATGAAGTGATAAACAATAATTCAGTCAAGGCGCAAAGAGGGGTTTTGAAGAAACCTCGCTGTTAATAGAGAGTAAAAGTGCTCAGGTGCACTCTGACTCAACTAGCCTCAACATAATAAAAATATTTAAAAATATTTAATATTTTTTTGAACTTTAACTTAGTTTATTGCTTTTAAATAGGTATTTATCGGAATATCGCTCGATTATTTTCAAATTTTTAAGCATTTACACAATGGTTTTATTTTTCCTTTTATTGGCAATCAAAGCGATTATGAATTGATATATTAATATTTGTATATCAAAAAAAAATATATATATATATAATTCTTTATACACAACAATAATTTGAACGTTTAATGAACTTTCGAATGCAACAATCGTTGCAGTATCTTAATTTTTAATTGAGTTGCTAAAGTGGGCGTATCAAATGCTGCTTTACACATTTACAAGCAAATTAAAATGCACAAACAAATTTTAAAAGCAATTTGAAATTGTACAATTCAATAACTAAAACAACAACAACAACAACAACAGCAGCAGCAGCAAAAATAAACATAACTGAAATGAAGAAGAAAAATTTATAAGTTAGTAAGATAAACATAATCCTTCTTAACAACAGCAACAGCAACAGCAACAGAAACAGAAACAATAACAACAAAGAGTAACAACCCAAATCATGTTTGCTGATGGAAGCATAAGAGCAGCTTGCAAATTTGCCAGATAACAATAGCAACAAAAGCGACAAGAACAACAACCAACAACAAACAACAACAAACTAATATTTATGCGAACATTTCAATTGATGCACATTTCGATATTAAGTGCAAGGAAGAACAAACAATGCTACAAGTTAATAAACTGACGTACACTCCCCTGTGGGCAGACTGGCAGGTAGGACGATGTAGCAACTGCGAGCTTTACTGCTAATGTACCAACACTTGTGCGTATGTGAGTTGCAACAACAACAATAATAACAACAACAACACCAACAAGGAGAAATCCTCTATAGCAACAGGGAAATCCTCTGCTGCAGAAACTATAATACAATAAATCAATGAGAGATTTTCTTGAACAACACACTGCCGGATTATTTAGAACTAATGAAAGATACTGTAGCAACATTAATTGTCTTAAAACAATAGAAAACCAATTGATTTATACATAAATCCGCTACTGTATATCTATTTCGACTTTGTCAGCATTCATAGACTTTTGAATTGCATCGCTAAGCTCTTAACTTAGCTCCTTTTGCATCAGCTCCTTATGTGCCAAAATGTTGTTGTACGAAACGTTGTTATTGTATGATTCAAGACCCTGCTGCTACCCTGGCTTCGCGAATCTGCAATACACCCGCTGATCTGATTTACATTTCCTCATGATATCTACACAGTATTAGTAAGATCCCATAGCACAATTACTGAACTAAAAATGTTTAGGTGACCCAATGTATGTTTCTACTTTGTATCGGGTTTAGTTTTATGTAATTTAATTGAACGGAATAATATTCGTTTTTATCATGAAAGAAAAATAAATTGAAAATAAAAGCCAAGTAATAATGTATCCCATAGTAACAGAATAGTACTGTATCATATATTGAAATTTTTTACTAAAAAAATAAGTCCCTAAACAAAGAATCCATATTTCGTCTGTTGATTAAAAACGATCGAATATCCGTTTCTGAAGTAGTTTCTTATTTTTTTTGTAAAAAGTCCCATTTCCTAAATTTCTTCTAACCATAATCTATTGTTCGTCTTTAGGCGAATAAATTTTTTTTTTTAATTGACTACCCGATTAGCGATCAGAATGTTAATTGTAGTCCAGCCAAATTGATTTCGCAATAAGACACCATTTCGCTCAGCTGCTTGGTATTCCTGTGCTTTCATAACTGTTGTATCTCTCCAACATTTGCAGTTAAATATACTCTTAAAATATGTATATTTTATTTATTATATACATATATATTATATATATTTTGTTATTACTTAACAACGTATATGAGAAAACAAAACAGCACGTACTAAAATTTTTTTATTATAGTTATAGAGACCATAGAATATGCAATAAAGAATGAAATATGGTTTCACAACTTTTATCAAAATCTAAAGTATAACTCAAACTAGAGAAATGCAAAAAAAAATATTTTTTAAACAGATTTTAATCCATGACATCTAATTGTGGATAATTAAGTAATTTCTAATAAATTAAATATATTTTGAAGCTTATGCTAGCGAATAACACTGAATGATGAATATATAAACCATGTCCCAGTATATTGTATAATTTAAGATTATATATTACCGGAAGCTATAATGTTGACTGCTATATTCACAGGTAAAAATTATGAACTTCATATAAAAAATAATGAAAATAAATCTGTCTGTTAGTAAAGGATTCGAAAAAGACAGAGTTGAAATTTAAGATAATTATAACAGCACTCACAATGCCAACAGATAAAAGGGTTTCAACTTTCAATTCCTACCAGAACTTCAATTGAAATATAAAAAGGAATGGACAACTTGAAATGGAGTACTTTAAAATGATACAATGATGACTCCGTGGACATAGCACGAAGATTGAACTAAACAAACACATATTATTTTGAGTCGCTACAAAAGTGTGTAAACAACTTTAAGAGGGAGTCATTTGCATTATAGAAAGGGAAAGCAATAACATAAAAAAGAAATAGTGCTATATAACTAATATTTATATCAGTTGTCTTATAACATAATAAGGCAAAGACATTAATACTGGTCATTAAATGAATTATATATATAGTATTGACTAATAATTGTCTAATAAATAGTTAAAAATGCTATATACCATATATAACCACGTGAAAGACGAAAGAAACCGCTGGAATACTAAATCCTATAACCAAGTTAAGAGTCAGTTTTATCAAAAATGAATCTATATTAATTTAATATTACTATTAATATATTAATATAGAATATAGAATAATATACAATATTAATCTAATTAAGTTATTGTAATACTACTTTTAATATCTGAAACGTTTTCTCTTGTTCCAGTATGGAAAGTTATAAGCCCATTTTTAAAAAATTTCTTACTGGGTCATAACACTTAATTCTTCAGAAAATTTTATTGACTTTGCAACCGAGGCATAAACCTTGGCTTGTAGTTATGCTTCTTCTGATTGCTTTCTTATTCATACGTGAACAAGTAAATATGTGAATACGAGAATACGTGAATACGTGAATACGGCAGCGATAAACGATCATAATCAACATCAAGATCATCATCGGACAACTCAAATTAATAAGCTGCCTTGCTGCAGTCTTATTCCTGCTTCCATCACTGCTCCTGATAATGATGATCGTTATTGGTTATTGGTTGCGGTGCACGTTAAAGTGTTTCGCTAAACATAGGGTATCGACGCGGTAACTAAAGAGAATTTAATCGACAAATGATTTTATTGGTAGCATTAAGAATCAATATGTTCAATAAAATGTTGTGTAACCATGTCTGTAACGTACTCATACATGCTGGTGCTATCTAAGTGTATCTAAAATGCGCTTATTATGACAACAAATCGGAGGCTCTTAAAATCATATTGGCAACAATAAATTGACTGAAATTATGCAAAATTATATTGAAATTACAATGCTAATTTACTTAATCATGGATGTTTTATAAAAAGTTCGAGATGACTTAGTTTTAATAAACGTTTTTGCCGAATTTCGCCTTTTAATAACTCTTACTTAGTTGTTATATAGAGTCTCACAAGTACTAGATAGTTAGTCAAAAATAGATTCTGTTAAGAACATTAAATCTTTTCTTTTAAAAGAGTTATTCAAGGACATCAATCATCGCTTTCTTCTGCATAAAATCCTTGTTTTCGTATCTTCTTTGCTCCTGGTACTATCTACATTAGTTTTCAGGCCGTGTGTGTATCTCTACAACGACATTCGCCATGCTATATATATATCAACATAGACTGGAGGAAGTTGGTTAGGCGAAGACAGGTTGCATGACAAATCAATTTAACTCGCTAAATAAGATTACATGTAACAACCCGAAATATGTTAAAAAGCATAGTGCATCTGTTAATAATTATAAAAAGGCACTGTTTTAATAGAATTATAATATAGACGAGTGACACCTATATTGATACCAATATATGTAATAAACAGGTGCCATATAACTCATATGCATTTTTCTCTCACTCGATATTATTGTTTGTTTTTCTCACTTAATCTATAAGATATTGCGTACAGCCTTTTGAATGCTAACAATTTTTTTGCCCCAGTTGTTTTATTTTCAATTTGAGAAAAAACATATATCAATAAAAATTTATGTCTAAATTTGGTCCAAGGCGCCCAAGCTGGTTTCATACCTGTGCTGCTTTTTAATTTAACTGCGGGATGATTTATAAGCTGCCGTTCAGAAATTAATAAAAGCCCAAGAGGTGCTCGAAAACGAGCATAAAAAATTAAAAACCAATATGAAATCAATTGATTTACACATATATAAATATTCCTATATTCCTATATGTATATATATATTTATATGTATTTGTATTTTATTACTCTCTTATGGGTAATAAATACTTATGGTAATAATGATGGAAATGTCATCAAAGAGTCATTTTTAGCAACTTATTTAGAAGAGAATTTATGACAACAATTTTTATACTTCATTCTATTTATTCTTTTCTTTTCCTTTTTTTTGATATTTTCAGTCTGATATTGTACACCAGTCTGTCTACGAACTAGTCCATTCGGAAGATCGCGAGGAACTGCAACGTCAATTGTTGTGGAATTCCTTTTTACCCGCCGATATGTCGAGTATGCAATTAGCCGAAACGCTGGCACCCGATAAATCTCTTTATTTGGAACGCAGCTTTACAGTACGTTTTCGCTGTTTACTCGACAATACTTCTGGCTTTTTGCGTTTGGACATACGAGGTCGCATCAAAGTTCTACATGGACAAAATCGTAAAACAGAGGAACCACCATTGGCGCTTTTTGCGTATTGTACGCCATTTGGGCCACCTAGTCTACTTGAAATACCGCACAAAGAGAATATGTTCAAGTCGAAACATAAATTAGATTTTTCTTTAGTTTCTATGGATCAAAGGTG